GGAAAGTGAGATATTGAAGAGCCGCCATTAAAGAAAAGCTTGAAGAGAGGAAAAGGGAAGTGTTGTTATTATATATGAATATGATTATGATTATGTATGTCCTTTGCATGGAACTTAATTACTATCTATTACGTTAATGTTTTGTGGACTTCCTTCTAGAGGTGGAATTATTATCCGGGATCCGAGAACCGATCCGTTATCCGTTTGGAATCGCTCCAAAAATTAGGATATCCGGGGAGCCGGATCCGGATAAGGATAGTAAAATCTAGGATTCGTGAAAAGAGGATCCGGATCCGGATAACAAAATTTTAAGATCCGGATCCGAACGCATTAAATATATTAAAAACATATATATTATATATCTGTTAAGCTAATTTTATATAAATAAATATATATAAAAATTGATTTTAGTTTTTTTATAATAAATTATATTTATAATGAAAAATATCATTTAAAATATTAATTAATAATTTTAAAAAATATATTTTTATTTATTTATTAATTATTTTAATTATTTTAATATTAATTTTGGATCCGGATATCCAGAGTCCGGATATCCGGAGGTCCCGATTCCGGTCCGGATAATTTTTTTCATGGATCTGACGATTTCAGATATGAATCCGAATACCTTGAAATTGCAAGATATCCAAATCCGTTCCACCCCTACTTCCTTCAACGAACTCCATCTTTTAAAAGGAGAAAATGCATGGGGTCGGGTTTTTTTTTTTCATTTTTTTTTTATATTTTGGTCTTTATTTCTTACGTACCCATAAATAACAGCATTTATTAATAGTGCTATAGTAGCATATATAGAACTATTACGCTTACTGCCCCGGACTCTGGACTTTGAACATTTTTAGGGAACACATAAAAAGCAAGCCGTAATAAATAAATCAACATAATGTATGTATATGTATCTACATATATGAAATATTGTGAAAATGTAACGTATATTAAAAATGTTTTTTCCGGAAATATAAACAAACGATCTTCTAAAAGCAACAAAAATTATATTCTTTACTTTACTTCACCTCCATGTCTAGAATAATTTCATTCTTGTTTATTATTTATTTTAACCAAGATTATACTCGCTTTTACACAGTGAAAACCGCAAAATCAAAAAAGAAAAAATTGTAAAAAGCCACGTGATGGTGGTAAAAAATCAGTCAAACCTAACAGTCAATGAAAAAAATTGGTTTGTTAACTTTAAACCATTTTTGGTACTGACAGTGGCAGGTTACTTGCTCTCACTGTCATTAACGGAACCGTTAATTCCTGTTTGACCTGGTCTAAATTGTGTACTTATGATAAAGATTTGGTTTAGATTTGTCTACCGGTTTGGTACATAATTTTCTTAGCCCAAAGTAAAAAGCCCATTATGATTTAAACCGAATTAATTAATCTGGATACTTGAGATTCGACCCGACTCGTTTTATTCCTCCTGGCTGCTTCGTCACTTTCGTTGTTCTTTGGCGCTCTGGAAATTTCTCCAACGTTCTTCAATATTGGATCAAAGTTAGATCTGCCTTTACTTGTGAGTTACTTCCCAACCTCCTTTTTCGATGGTTNNTCTCTCTACGGTNNCG